TATCTGTAACTTCGAAGCAGTGACTTAATATTTTACTTCCCGAACTAATTTTAATGTTTTTTGCTTAAAAAAATTAATTCAGAAATAGAAATATCTAATCATTTAATTACGCTTCGATGATTTTAGCTGAGTGCTGAGAAATATTGAATACAATTTAGTAATTATTGCCGTAATTATTTGCTGTTTTATCAGTGTAAGCTGAGCCATTGCGGGGCTTTAACAACTTAATAATTCACTTTCTAAACCGAAATATTGCTGCTTTTTCGCTTGTAAAAAAAAACAACAAAATTAGTTCTGAAATAAAAATATTGAGTCGTCCATCTCAAAAAATTTCTCTTCGCATGATTGCAGATAAGTATTAAGAAATATAGAATACACTCAAGTAATAATTATTGTCATAATTATTTGCTGTCTGATCAGTGTAAGCTAGGCCATTGCGGAGCCCTAACGACTAAATATTTCTCTTTCTGAACCAAAATGCTACTGTTTTATGCTTGTAAAAACACAACAAAATTTGAATGGAATACACTTAAATAATAATTATTGTAATAATTATTTGCTGTTTGATCAGTGTAAGCTAAGCCATTGCGGGGCCCTAACGACTGAATATTTCTCTTTCCGAATGTTACTGTTTTATGCTTGTAAAAACACAAAAAAATTTGTATGGAATACACTTAAGTAATAATTATTGTAATAATTATTTGCTGTTTGATCAGTGTAAGCTGAGCCATTGCGGGGCCCTAACGACAAAATATTTCACTTTCTGAAATAAAATGTTACTGTTTTATGCTTGTAAGAAACACAACAAAATTAATTCGGACATAAAAATAGTGAGCCGTTCCATTTCAATAAATTTAACTTTACATGAGTGTAGATAAATACTAAGAAATATAGAAAACACTTGAGTAATAATTATTGACGTAATTATTTGCTGTTTGATCAATATAAGCTGAGCAATTTCGGGGCCGCGGGCAAACTATTTTACTTGTCCTACATATTTTTTCCCCGCGAGAACCCTTCGTTTATTTTCAGATTTTTAGCTACGTTATTAAGATAGGTTATAATTTTTGATTTCTTTCTAATTCAATATTTTAAAATGAACAACTTAACACTTTCATTCTCGTTATTAATATTTTTTTTCTCCCCTATCGGCCACGGGATTCGTTAACGAATAATTTTGCATTGCATCTGAATAATCGTCTGATAAACTAAACTCAATAGCGTGACAGTCCAAGGAGATCAAAGACCTACTGGACCCATCCCTGTTTTCTAGATCCTAAAGGGCTCTGGGATTTTGGAGTGGTTGTTCCGGTCGGGTGGTGAACCGAACGCTGAACCCCCAGTCCCCAAGCATGCTTGGTAATCATTTTATCGACTTTCGAATGGATAAAAGACTGAGTCAACTTTGCCCGGTCCTAGGATAAAACTCCGAACCTGTGGTAAAGTGTTACCATTTCAAATTTACATACGACACACCGCTTCGAAGCCCCAATCTTGGAGTTAGCAAGCTGGATTACAGCATCCGATCATCGAATAATGTTTAGATTTATTTTTCTATTTATATTATTTCTAATTATTATTTTTTATTGTTATTATTATTATTTGAATTAATTAGATCATTTCTATTATTTATGAATACTTTTCTTGCCCGGAACCCGTAAAAAATATTTGCAAGTGAATAGTTTATTTTCGGACAACGGACTTCAAATTGTTTCAGATTTCTCTCTTCCATATTTTCTACCACCTTGATGCTGGGTACCTTCTAATGTGGATCACTAACTGCTCCGTTAAACTTTCGCCTTAATTATTTTATTTTTAATTTTGTTTTAACATTTAAGTTTTATCAATGTTTTTTAAGGCATGAAACGAAAAAACAGTAAAAGGGAGAAATTTTGTGTTTGAGGGTAACGTTTGTTTTAAAACATTTTTTTCGATGTTTTAGGTTTCTTTTAATTGTTTCCCTTTATGCAGGGCTCACGCAAATAAGAAAATCACTGAAATCAAATGCCATGCTTGAGTTATCTAAATTATTCAAATAAAAAAAAAAGTTTTTTCAAATAATTAAATTTTAAAAAATATATATTTTTTAAAAACTTATAAAATAATATACATTTAATAAAACAAAATTCTATAATTATAAAGAAATTTTTTTTTTTTTTTAACGGCTGGCGCGAGGCGCTGTATATAGGTATCCCCCTGTGTTATTCGAAGATGCCGTAAGAAATAAGATGATGTAAGATTTGAAACATGTTTTCAAAGTCATAATTCTATTTTTAACAACAACAAAAAAAAAATACGATTGCTGTTTTTTTTTATCAAAAAAATATAAATACTAGAATAAATAACATGCATGAGTAAATAAATATAAATGCTAAAAAGAATTAAACAACCTTTTAAAAAAAACCACATTAAATAAAAAACTAAAGTTCATTTGTTTTTGTTTACTAAGATCAATGAAATTACAATTATTAGTGACTGTAATAAATGAATAGTAATTATAAATGACTAAAATTAATGAATAACAATTATTGAATAGAATCAATGAATGACATTTCTAAATGACTTGAATCAAACAATAAATATTAAAATTAAGCTACGAGTTTTTTTATTTCTGATGTTACACTTTATAGCATTTTTTAAAAATAAAATTAATGAATAAAATATTAATTCTCGTATGCTTAAAAATAAAGTAAAATAAATAATTTTAAAAATAAATTTATTAAATTTTAAAGAACGATTAAGTTTCATAATTGTTTAAGCGTCATAACAATATGATGAATTATATTAGATTTTGCTGATAAATTATATTTCTCATTGAATTTTTCGAATAACCTAAGAAAATACAATAATACTAATAAATTGTTTGCATTTAATTACACATGTCATAAAAAATCACAACAGTGCAAAGCTGAAATTTGAAGAGCAAAATTATAAAACATTTAGAATTTGCATTTTGATAAACTTTGCTGATTTTAACATTTATTACATACAGCGAAACATGTTCATAAAAATATTTTAAAAGTGTTCTCAATTTTTAAAAACACGATTTTTTTTCCGAGAATAACTGTTGGAGGCCTAGTTGGAAAAAAAATAAGGGCAATTGTATACCAGTGCTGTGCTTAGAGGAAAATATTGGTGCTTATAATTGGAATTAGTGCACCTTAAAAGTGCCTCTTAAGAAAAACTGGTATTTATGATTTTTCTAATGTGATGCAATTGCTTTCACTTTTTATAGGTCTTTCACTATAAAAAATAACCTAAAAAGTTTTTTTAACAAAAAAAACTGCTCTTATTTCTCGTACCAATTTTCAACAAATGAATTTTTAGGGACATTCTAGAACTTTTCATACACTATCCTGTTTGAAAAGAAGTTATTTAGTAAAAAATATGATTGATTAGTGAAACTTTAGTGATTTAGTGGCTAGTGGAAATTTTAGTGGTTAATGATTGGTCAGTTAGCTAAAAAGTTTCGTTTTTGTAAGCTTCAGATATTGACCTGCTTTAAGAAACACTGATAAATAGATAACTTTTTAAAAAAAAAAAATTAGTTTAAAAAAAAAACAATCTAGAAATTCCTTTAGAATTGCTTGCATAGTTTTTGATTTTATTTATATTGTTGTGTACAAAATGTACATACTCAGAAATCTTCTATGAGAGATTTAAAAAAAAAAAAAAAAAAAAAAAAAAAAAAAGAACTTTCAATTTTAAGAGAATTTATAATATTTGATGAAACCTAACACGCTTTAATATTAAAATTTTTTTGGTTTATTGTAAATGAAACTCATCTAACTTTTATTCGTTCTCAGCAATTTTTGCTATTCGTTTAAACAAAATTAAAAAAATTTCATGTTTTTCTTTTTTTTTTTTGCTATTTAAAAAGAACGCATTATTAAATAAAATCTAAAATTTTCTTCCTAATTTCCTGAAGACAAATTAAGGTGTGAAATGATATATATATATATATATATATAATTTTTTTTTTTTTTACACTACAATGGGAACAAAAATATGACATTCACTTTACTTGTTTGATTTATGTAGAAAATTAAGCTTTTACAGCCAGTTAAACCAAAATTGTTTAAATTAATACAAGAAGAAACAGTAAAATTAAAACAGGTAGAATGTTTTGAATAAATAATAACATTCAACACAAACTATTTAGTTTATCAATTATCATTTATTTAACAAATTTCAGAGAGTTTTAATATACATATAAAATAAAGCAACTGTTGTTTTTTTATCACTCCATTTAATTATTTGAATTTCCTAAGACTTGTTTAGAGTGCATAATTGCTTGAGTATTGAATCTTTAACAAAGTAAATTTTTTTAAAAATTACTGAAATAGTATTTCTTATGAAATCTTAGTTTTACATTAGTGAAATTTATATATTAAAATATCAGACTTCTCCCACACCCTCAGATCATATTTCTCATTTTTAAAAGAAATTTATTTTAAATATTAAAACTTTTTTTTTACTCTGTATCGTATTGAGATGACAGTTAGACAGTTTTAATTTCTTTTCAAAACTTGTAATTGATTAAATTAAAAATTGCTATTAATTTGGATCAAAATACAAATAATTTTTTCATTATACATATTTATAGTTTCATACTTATATTTCTGAAGAAAAAAAATATTGCAATATTGTTACTCTGTAATATTTTTACTCAATTGTAAGCAGTAAAAAAATTTTTCCATAGTTTTTAATATTGACTGAGACAGTTTTTTGCTGTTCTTTTCGTAGCACAATATCAAAATGCTAAATAAAAGACTTAATTTATTCTCCACTAGTCAAATGCCTTTTACCTCCAGCTAATATAAGTTCCAATGCGCTTAATTGTATAAAAAAAGGTGCAATTAAAAATCTGGAAATTAAAACTTCTAAATTACCTATATATAAAAAAGTAGTAGAAAACTGTCCCTGCTATATACACCATTATTAAATAAATTTATCAACTCATGAAACTCATCAGGAATAATTAATTTAATGAAACTTACTTTTGAAAGCCCATAGTTTTCCTTTCCTCAAACCTTGCATCAATTTGAACAAGGCTGACATGCATGGTCCAGAGAGATCTACACTAGAGCTACTTCGAATTACCATGGGCATTAGTTTTTTCATCATCTGTTCAGTACTTTTGGCTAATGAGTAATCAGTATAATTCCAACTAGCTTCAACATAATTGGGATGCTCCGGATTTTCCAGAATTTTATTAATTTCTCTCTCATAATCCTCATCTTTTTGCCTTTTTTGTCGTGTTGCTAGAACATCCCCAAAAACAAAAAACAGGCAGATTACTCCTATGGTCACTTTCCACATGCCGGTCATTCTGTCAAGAGGTTTAATTTCATCTGCCTGTCCAAAAAAAAATCAACCGTGGTAATGAATATGAAGAAGGATCTTAAGTAGAGGATCGCCATTTCTTTTAAATTTTGCTCCACTTCTGCCATTACGTCAAGACTACCACGTGACTCGATGCACCCAATTACGAAGTGAAAGACGAAGATCGAAAGTGAAACATAATAACGAAACCATGGAACTTCTTTTTCATCTTACAGGTGAATGGGAATGTTCCTTTTCCGCGGTTATTACGAATGGAGTTTCATTCGAGCGTTTCACTTAATGATAATTTTCTCACGCGATATTCTCTTATTAATCAAATAATAAGCTTGTAAAATGTCGGTTTAATTTAAAATAAGTACTTCCTTTTTATTTATTCTGTGAACAACTTATTAAAGCAAAACGTACGTTAGTTTAATATCCTCGTTTGTCTATGTTTTTGTATCAGATTTACATTAAATTCCAAAGAGAGGTAAAAAATTTTTGCAGTATTCACTCTCAGCCACCAAAGAACCATACCTATTTTATGGTATAGAACAGTGGTTACCAAATGCCGGCCTGCGAAGCCTTTTTTTTGGCACGCGAACTAAAATATATCAGATGTTTTTTTGCGGACAGTTTTCGTAAAAAATCTATATGGGTTTAAAATACTTTTCTTTCGTTTAAGAAAACCTAATTTCTTCGTTTCTCTAAAATTTAACAAACCAACGATTAAAAAAAATTTATCTCTCAGGTTTTGCACCCAAGAAAATATTCATTTAAATACAAAAATAATCGTGTATGTTGCTCTTTTTTATTTCGTGTTTTTGTATTTTGTGAATATAATTCAGCATGTGCTTATCAGAAATTTTCTCGAAGAAATTCTCCCATTCAACTTTCTGAAACTACTCATTTTGGACGAAATTATTAACATTTGTAAATTTTAAAACGCATAAAAGAGGGAAAGAATATCATGTTTTATTTAAATTCCTTGAATTGAATATCGCATGAGCAGAAAAGAAAAGAAAATTAATTTCAGATGCTCGAGAATTTTTTGCTGTTGTTGCTATAATTCCTAATAAGTGGAAAAAAACTGTTAATTTATCACAGAATTAAATTAAAAAGAAAAGAAAAACTTGTCACTAAGTTCCTGATTAAGAAAAGATTCAAAATGTTACGTAACAAGCATTATGTGAAATGCTTGTTACTTTGCTTTTTGATATTAAAAAAACTTTGATAAAAATCTGACAGTAATATTTAATGTTCCTTCAAATATAAAATTTTGATAAAGTTACGGCCCCGCCATTTGACCTGTGTTTTTAATTGCGGCCCCCGGCCACATGTAAGTTGGAAACCCCTAGTATAGAACAATACTCAACAGTCAATAGGTTTTGTAGACATAAATAATTCAAATTAATATATATTACTAATAGTGTTGGTGTAATAGTGTTTTTCTCGAACGATATTTGTTTTCCTGTTCTAGCCCGCATTTTCAACAATTATCGGAGAAAAAAACCCTATTTTCCCTTATCTTCGCACTGTCGCATATTTCGCGAATTTCTAATTCTGTGTTTTGAAATATAGGGATTTTAAAAGAATCATAAATGCTCCCAAAACAATGACTACGGAACTCCGATCGATCTACATGGATTTAAGATGAAATCAGTGCAAAATCAAACTAACGTGGTCGAAAACCGAAAGATGATTACTCATATGCGTGATTTGAGTAATTACTCATATGCATGAGTCGTAATAATTTCGTTTTAAAAATATCGATAATTATAAAATTATTAAAAAATCCAAGAGTAAAAAAAATTAATGAAAAAAAATATGTGCATATGCGACGAAATTGGCATAAGTCGAACATTCAAATTCGCGATTCGAAAATCACCTGCGTGATCCGATAAAATATGTCGAGATTTCAAAAAAAATAAAAAAGCATTTTAAAAAAACTGTAACAGCAGCTGAAAAACCACATAGATGTACGATGAAATCGTTGCTAAATTGAACAAACGTGATTAATATATGCGATTGGAGATTCCTGGCCAGTAAAGTTTCATATTAAAGATTTTGGTATTTTCAATATTACGTAGAAATACATGCGTGCCGAAAAAGTGGTTCGGGAAACCATGTGAATGCACGACGAAATCTGCGCAAATCAAACACGTGAATTTTAAAAAAAAATTACTCAAATGCACAAGCCTAAATTCACTTGCCGTCATAATAACTCGTTTAAAAAAAATATCGGAATTTCCGAAAAGCATTTAAAAATCTGTAACGGTATTTCCTGAAAAACCATTTAGATTTTCGAGCTGATACAATGATTCGTTCGCATAAATGCACTATACGAAATTTCTGTGACGTAATAATTTTGAATTAAAAAATTGTAGGCTGGTAGGTAGGGAAGAGTGGGGTCAATTGTAACACTTTTTACTTAACTATTTTTAACTAACAAAAAATCCAATATATTATTAGTATTAATTGACAGACGAGTAAAGTAGACTATCGTCTACTAGAAGAAAATAATAAAAACCTTATTTTAAATGTTATTATATTAGTTATTAACAATTTTTGACAGTCGTGCACTTGTTACAATTGTCCCCACTTACGGGGTCAATTGTAACAGTTCATAAATTCAACTAAAACATAGTTAATTATACATATTATCATAGTTGTGATATATTTTTTTATTGATCAAAATAGTAGTGATATTTTAGGAGTAAAAATAATAATGAGCAGAGACCTAAAGGGTTAAACTTTTAACTTTAAGGGGTTAAAAATTTTAATTTATGCTGTGAAAGGTGACAAATAAAATAATGCACATGCAACATAATATAAATGATATAGGAAACTATTGGTGGTTCTTAAAGAGTTAAGTAATGGTTTGTAAACATAAGATTATTTATTTTCAGCTGTTACAATCGTCCCTTTACTTATTGTTACAATTGTCCCCAAGACGCCATTTCAGCTTCATTTGTTAAAAACAATGCTAGTTAATTAGCAAAACTAATCTTTTTTTTTTTGAAATGTTAATTAAGGTGTCCACTTACATATTCGGTTACTAATTTTTATTTGTTTAAACAAAATTACTTTGTTACAATATAATATTCTAATACCAAAAAAAGTACTTGCGTGGCGTGAAAATATCTTTTGTGATGTAACTCTTTCAAAAGTACATAAAAATGGTTGCCATCAGGGGTGTACATGTAGATTTATTAAATACACCTTGTGCGCCACCTAGGAACCAAATCTAGAACCCGACACTCGAAATTTTTGCTCTGTTACAATCGTACCCTGTTACAATTGACCCCACTCTCCCCTACTTTATTTATGTCATCCTAGAGCAGCACAATTGGCTATTGGCGACAGTCAGGGAAATATTCTTGAAGAAGATCTGAAGACTTACCATCGCAAATTTGATCTTCTGTAGAAGAGGTGGTTCCACGATTTGGTAACCCGATGGTCTGCGCACGAAGTCGAGCACTTTAAGGTAGAACAGTTTAACGAGGACCGATACCGCATACCCTCGGTTCCTAAAGAGGCTGATCAAAGTTGTCACTCATTAGCTTACTAACCGGCTTCCAGTGATGCTTGCCTTCGGTCATCTGCTGGGAACCGCGTCCTTACAATTAGTCCACTGCGGGACTTAAAAAAGTGAAAAGGCGAGTTCTATTCAATTTTATTTCAGTAAAATAATAGAAAGATTTGTTTTTATCCACATTATGTAACCGTCGGAAGAGGCTCGTGATTTCGGAATTTTTTTCTCGAAATTTCTCGAGAAGTTTTGACGAAATTGTGTCCCAATTTATTCATTTACAAAAAAACTCGCTGTATTTAAACTTATTACGTGTAACCGCAAATTTTCAAGTAATATACATATTTAATTGTAATATCATAATACTTTGGAATTACGCATAAATTTTCATTATTTTTCTTATTTCTTTTAAAAGATTTCATAACATTTTGTTATACTGTAAAAAGTATTCATTTTGTAATAAGTATTCCGAACATAAGTATTTTGTTTTCTCAAAATTATTCAACAAAATTTCGAAAAAAATAAAAACTAGTAACGGTTGAGATGCCATCCAATATTTTTACTGGCAACGAGAAATTTTTGTTGGCTACCAGCATTTAATTTTTGGAGAAGAAAAAAAAATTATTAAAATAAAATATTTAAAAAAAAACTTATGGAGAAAAAATGAAAAAAATATTAAAAAGCCGAAAAACAAAATATAGAAAAGGCATAATTTCGTCGTCAGCTCACACGACTACATCCGCAAAAAGGAGTGCTGTCCAATATTGCCAAAGTAAAATATATCAATGCAATAGTATGAGGCGCACCCAAATTTTTTTTAATGAAAATAGAACACATGAAGTAAAAATAACGAAATAAAACATATCAAGCAAAAAATACAAAATAAAATGCAAGAAAAATACAGAATACAAAATGTAATCTATAAAGCGAGTAGCGATTTCAAATGAACTTAGACGTTCTGAGAATCCCTCAAAAAATGATCTAAAATATTTTCGTAACAGTCTTCAAATGCACGATTCTAAAATTCCGGTACAAAACAAAATATATTGAAAAACTCCAGATTTGAAAAACGTGCAAATCGGTGGCAACAATAAGTAACAAAAATGAGATCCATAAAACCACGCCGGCTTACGGGTGAATCGTTAATTATCCAGTAGGTATTTCAAAAAGTGATTATTCAAATGCGATTCGAAATTTTTCGTTCAATACAATGAAAATGATATTAAGAAAATCGAGCTTTTAAAAACCGTATGAAAATCCATATTAATAACTACCGAAAAAAGATCGAAAAAAACCACGCAGATTCACTGTGGAATTGTAGCTAATCGAGTAGGTCGAGAAATGATTAATAATTACCGAAAAAAAGATCGAAAAAACCACGCAGATTCACTGTGGAATCGTAGCTAATCGAGTAGGTCGAAAAATGATTACTCATTGGTGGTATGGCGTATAAAATTATTGAGATTTTAAAAACCAAGAGGAAATCTGTAACAATAGCTACCAAACTAGCGATTGGTAAAACACGTAGATTTATGATGGAATCTTCGCTAATCGACTGGGACATAATAAAAAGTAATTACTCAAATGCGTGATACGAAATTCGTCCTACGAGATAAAATGAAGTACGTCGTACGCCTGTTTAGGCAGTGAGGGTGCGATTGTTCCTGTTTTTCAGTGGCGCCATCTATGGCCAGGAATTTGACTTCTGTCACGCCATTCACACCACCACAACCCGTTTATAGGGCGGGTCACAAACACACAAAGGAGAAAGGACATAGAAAGCACAGAGAGAGAAAGAAACATCCATGCCTTGCTTGGGATTCGAACCCAGGACCATTCTGATGAAAGGACAGTTCCCTGCCCCTACACAGGCCGGTCGGCAAATAAAGTATTAAATCATTGATATTTTAAAAACTATGCGAAAAGAATTAATAATAAATAGCGACCGATCAAGATAAATTCAGGACCAAGGTCCACTAAATTTTTCGGGGGGGGGGGGGGCTACNCCTTACAAAATATTTTTAAATTAAATTACTGAAGAGTAGTCCTAACAATGAAAAATAATCTATTGAACTGCATGATTCAAAAGTAACATTCTAAGAAATTTTGAAAGCAGACAATTGAAGATTAATTTTCTAAGATAAAGCTTATGCATCTATTAATTAAAACAAAATATAAAACAACAAAACAATAGTGTTTCAAAATAAAAATAGTTTGGTGACCTCAAACAATTGAAATCAGTGATTTTTGCTAAAAGTCACTGAATTATATTTTATTGTAACCTGTAATTAATTTTTATTGCCAATATTTATTTCCACACAATAACTGCCAAACACATTGCCATAAAAAAAAATCGGTAAAATTAAAAACTTAAGAGATAATTAATGAAAATGAATTTAGCTCAATACCATAAAAACTGACTAGCTCATGATAAGTATTACCAGTACGTTTAAAAAAAAATTCCCGAAATACAAAATATAACAATAAAATTTTTTAAAAAATATTTCAAAATAGATAACATTTTATTTTAAATAAATTTTAGCATCTTGCATCCATGATTCTTAGAGGGGCGTATAACGTAAAAATAATACATTTTTAAACTCAATTTCTTTCAGCTTTGCTAGAAATTCGGTGTTCTTATGCCGGAACAATAAAAATCTCTGTACTTTCTAGATTACCGAAAAAGTTTGCAGCTTCTAGAGCATTATGATTGATCAATTTTTGATAATCCTCTCTTAATTGAGGAATGGGGAGCTAAAGTGAATCAAATCTACAAATTACTTTATTATTTTTGAAATAATCGAGGTTAAAGTTTATTCGCAATAGTTGGGTCATGAAATAATTTTAGACAGCTTGATTTAATTGGTTCATTCACCAACAGATCTGAAAATATAAACCTTTAATAAAGTATCCTTATGCAACAAATTTATATGTTAGGACTGATCTATTTTAGCTTCTAATTTTTTACTTGCCTAACAGATAAAAAAAAAAAGACTGAATGAAAAAATTTTACAATTTTATTATATACAAAAATATATACAAAATATGATTTATTTTAAAAATGAATTTAAGTCTATTATAAAATATATTGCAGTGGTCCAGCCACATTTCCGACAACACTCTTTAAAAGTCAGCAGTATTTTAAGTGATCTATCACATGCTGCAATTTCTTTCCTAAAAATACCTGAAAAAAAATAAAACTTGGAGTGAAATACTTTGATTTTATATTGTTACTACTTAATTTAAGAAAATAAGTTAGGAAAGATCAAACCAGTATTTACTTATTTTAATGGATACTTACTTAATCCAGGAGTACAAAAAATTTTCCTATTTCATTTAATAATTGTTATGGAATATTTTTCTTTCAGCATTTGCATGCAAAAAATTTTTTTATTAAAAAATGAAAAAGGTTAACTTTGCTTAAGATACATAAAAAAAAATATATACAATTAATACAAATTTCTGGCATAAAAAAATCAATTTTTCTTAATCTTTTTTAAACAGAATTTTTATTAAGCATATTGCTCATAAATTTTTTATTAACTTAAATCAAAAATAGGAGAAAAATATTATATTTAACATTTTAATAATTTATGGCTATAAAATACAACATGAAACACCAGTGTTTTTCTACGTTAAATCTTCCAAACAATTTTTCAAATTTGCACTCATTTGCAGTTATTTAGATCTGAGAGAAACAGCTATTCGTTATTGAAATATCTTTAATTTACAAAATCAATAATTGATAAAATTTTTAATATGAATGAAAAAAAATTTAAAACTACTTTTTTGCACTTTATATTTTAGTATAATTCTAATAATATAACAGATTTTTTTTTTAGTAAAACTTAGACTGCTTTTTATAATTAAAAAATATCAAAATATATTTTTGCTTACAATTAGAGCGTCAGAAAAAATAAATAAAACGGGCATCAGTGTCACATCAGTGCCAAAGGGTTAAGTCATAAATGGAGAAGTAGTGGTTAGCATAGAAATTTTTGGAACAAATTTGGCCAGGGAAAATTCTATCTCATTAAAATTAAACAATTAAGATGAAATTTAATATTGATTTATTTTTACTTTTTTAAAACATTTCTTAGACAAAACTTATGAAAACATAAAATGTATAGCAAGCAAAAAGAAAAGTATAAACTCTACTTTGATCTAATGTTTTAATAGTTCTCTTCTAAGATACAATTTTAACAGTTTGTAGGGCGGACATTAAATATGTGCATTAATTTATGAAGACCATATGCTTAATTAAAAATCAAACATAACAACCAACTTTCTCTAAACATCTCTTTTTTTTAATGGATTCGGATTTTTAACACTCAGAAAATGGAGGTAGTCATAATATGATTCCAATAATACAGTTAGGAGAGCAAACAAAAGTTTGGGCTTCTTAAACTGAAATTATTTAAGTGGATTAAAGACAAAAATTTGGCATACAATTATATGACTCTATTATCCAAAGATAATTTCATGTAAAATAATGTTTTATAACTTATTTTGATAAGGCTTAAAGTTTCGAGTACCTAGTTAAATAAGCAAATTTTAACATGACTTTTATGTAGTTTTAAATGACAAAATCCAAAACTTGAACAAAATAGGTTGATTAATTAAGAAGAGAAAATACAATGAAACTTACATTCAACCTCCTCTAAAGAACAGTAACCTCCTCAAGAAAACCATACATTTATGGTACCGAACATCTTCTATGAGCTTTACATTATGGGGAACCCTTGAACCGTTATTTTTAAACAACGCCAATTGTTACAAGCATAAATTTTGTATCCAGGTGTATCTTGGTCAACTTTTTCTAATTTTTCATCCCTTGCCGGCAATAATTTTATTTGTTGATTACCGGGTCATCACATTCAAGTCATTATCAACAATTTTCAAGTATTCTTACGATAATCAATCATCGATTTGGTAGTTAAGTTGTGCTTATCACAGATAGGCGGGCGGCATCTTTGATGGGTCGTTGGCAGAAATCACATTATTATTGTTCTACAGACATAATGAGAAGTAATTTCTTAATGCAACTTTGATCAGCTTTCACTGAAGCAGTTCGTTGCACTTACGCAAAAGAAATAGCGTGGGCTGATCATTATTTGTGGAGCAATTTAAAAAATATTTTCAAACACTGGAATAGAGGATACCTGAATGAATAATCGAAATATGAGTGATTATCAAAAAGTTATTGAGGATTGTAAAAAAGGAATAAGTTGATGGAAATAAGCTTGACTGTATGGTTGTTGGGAAAAGTGAATTAATGACATCTTAAAAAAAGATCATTAAAATAAAATATAATAATGATAATAAACAGTAGGTAAGTTAAGGCGCCCGGGATAGATTGGATGGTAGGGCGTTGGGCCCATGTCTAAGAAGTCACAAGTTCGATCCCTGCTGGCTGAAGACTCCTTATTTAGTAAATGGTGACTGGTGCACGTTAAATCTGTCGGGTCACAATATTGGAGTTTGATCATTCTCTGATTCAGATCAAAATTATGATCTGTGGATGGGTGAATGAAAGAATGCATGAATGAGTTCGTCCTATAAACGCGCTGTGACGTGTGTGTGGCTGAAGTCGTATCCTTGGCCATAGATGGAGCCAGTGAAAAACAAGAAACACACCTTCTGCCTTAAAATTCACTTGGTTTCACCCAGCAGGCTTGCTGATATTGTCAAGTGGCGTTAAAAACAACACAACAACAGGTAAGTTAACTATACATCAGGTAACTTAATTGTACATATGACTCATCTTGTTTGTAACTATAAATTTTTTTACAAATTTTGTTGTTCGATGCTATTTTTAATTTTTATTTATCTACTTAATTTCATTCATTTATTTTTGAACCACTAATTCACTTATAACTCCAAATAATGGCCACCTCTTAACACAGGTCATATACGCCTAGTTCTGCAAGGGACCGCTGTTTGGAGGTTTTACTGCATAAAAATATAAATTTTTCAAAATTTCTTTATTTAACTATTTGGCTGACTTCATTCAAACTTTAGATTTTGTCACTTAAAAGTACATACCTTCAAATTCAAATTTCGTAGTATTAAAATAAACATAAAAAAATATTTATCTTAATTCTAGTTAACCTATCTTTATGTTTGCAAAAATGAGTTTTAAAACTGTGTGCAAAATTCTTTTGATACATTTATAATTCTACATAAATAGCAAAAACATGAACAAAAAGGGGCCTAAACTTTCAACCACTCTCCTGACTAAATTTATGGACCCATATTCACTACTCAGGGGTGATTGTGAGCCCAAGTTCCGGAAAATTTCTTAGTTAAAAAAAAAAGTTTAAATTGAAAAAAATTTAAACAAGTTTTTTTCCCTTTTTCTCAATATTTCTTAACTTACTTAAAATATTTTTTAAATTTTACACATACCTGTACCATTTACACATATCTATGATGACCTGGAGAAGTAATTAAAATTTACAAATATGTCTTTCGTTCTTGAGTTTATGATTATAACAACTATTTACTGATAAAAAATTAATATTAATCATGAATATAAGCTTATAAAGTATATCTCTGACTCTCCCTTACAAACAAATAAAATAAACTCTGTTTTTAAGTTCCACCTTTGAATATTTGATTTACGGAAACTTCTGTGATCAATGATTTTTTGAAACGTCTGGACCTTCGATCTCCGGAAACTTCCGGATCACTGTTAGCGAAAAGTCCGGAAATCCGGATTTTTTCCGGAGCACAATCAGCCCTGACTACTACTCTTGTATTAAGGTAAAGCCATAAAAAAAATATATTTATTTAGAGATGGTACTTTTTTTGTCTGATTTATAGCTTAAAAATATCCTCTGCTCTAATTAAGTTAATATTAACCCTTTGTAACTCAACAACTCTGATTTAAGAAATATTTACACGGATATTAGAATACATCATATTACGCGTGCAAAAAATAATGAAAAAATCAAGACCTTAAAATTAAACATTTATTGATAAAAAGCATTTGTTGAACATCTCCAATATTGTGAAAAATAGCACAAAAATTCCAATATATTTAAAACTTCATGTGAACAATTTTGAAATTGTTGTTTTTATGGTAACAAAGTCTCACGCTACATTTTTCAATCTCTCCTTAGCCAAATATACAATCAAGGGGATTGTTGTAAAAAAAATTTATATCCTGCAATTATGTTGTGGAACAATTCTTGCTAAACGCATTATAATATTGGTAGCTGCACCAAGACTTGGTTCCCCCGAGTTGGCAATATTTTCTTTACCTGAATTTGGTTTAATTTTATAGGTAAATCCAGCTCATTATAGGATTGAATTTTCATGTATGTTGCAGATATGTAACGCAGTGATACAAAGGGTTAAGTTAAATAGTTAAGGTTAAACTTTAAAGCCACTAGGATTGCATTTAAATGCTTGAAAATGCTCTTAATAGATTAACATTTAATAAAGTGTTCTGTTTTTAATTTCAGGCATTACCTATAGGGATATGTGACAGCGATATTTTTTATTTTATTTATTTTAGCAAAATTTGACAGTATGCTCTTTTTAGAATTTTCAAGCTAAACTACATATTGGAAATCACTCTATATTTTATTTATTTACTGTAGTAACTTTTTAATTAACAGAAATAGAAATATTCTTAGAAATTTATAAAAAAGCAACTTACAAAATCAAATGGTTATAAAATTGAACATTTTAATGATATTTAGAGCAAAATTTCTTTACCAGTTATCAGGAACATAATCTGAGAAATTTGCTTCTATTCTGACTACCAACTAGTAAAGATGCAGCTGCAAGAGAAATGCATATTTATTTTCCAGATTTTCTTTAAATAAATTTAAGAAGAAATATTTAAAACTACAAACAATACTTCTAATAAGTAAACAATGTCAACACAAAAGGTTAGTTATAAGTAGTTATAAACACACAATGTTATGCATTACTGAAATGGGCGAGTTTTGTAATTCTTATATTTGTAATAACTTACTTTCTAAATATTTAGATTTATTGGGAAACTGAGAAAAAACAGTTGTCATACAGAAAGCAAATTTTTCCACATCCTTAGAAACTTTAAATTCTTTCACAGCAGTACAAAACTTAGCATAATCTTCTGTAACACCCAATAAACTTTTAACCTGAAATAGCATTATTATTATTATAAAAAATAAAAATAAAACAGATAAATAATGCATTATTAATAAGATATACTTTTACTATTTTAAAATAACACTTATTCAAACAACTTCCATATTTTTTTTCTTTTTTTTCAAAAAAAAAAAAAAAAAAAAAAAGAAAAGACTTTAAACAGTAAAAGAATTTTATAAGTTTAAATTAAAATATTTATTTGAATTTTTAAATGGATTCTAAATTATTTTCAAAGAACTCTTATTGGATAAAAAAAAAATACCAGTAGGATATGCTATTATTCAGTTTTGATACTAAGTTTGAGACACATTAAGTTTTGGTAAGATCTTAAGAATGCCCATACTCAAATACAGATTCAAGAAATTATGAAGGAAGGATATTACCTTATAAATTATGACTTTTTATAATCTAACCATAGGGTTTTACAACCATGTGGTGCCATCTGTGGAAAATATTAAACATTAAATAGAATATGCTTTGTTCTTATTGTGATTAAAAAAATTTTTTTAATTCAATTTCCTTCATTTAGAATTATAGCTTTCTTTACAAGAAAACTAGACTAGAAAAAGCAATATAACTAGAAAAAGTGTGATATAAATATATGTATTGTTCATAATATAGTACAAGGAACAATTCACATTCTGTTTCTCACTCTAACAACAAATCAAAACCCTAATATGAGTCATATTACATACAAAACTGTACAAACGTTAAAGTATGAAAATAAAGAAATTCTTGCAAATGTGTCATTAATATAACAATTAAAAAATAATTGTATAACTTAAAATTTTTAAAAAAGATACAAATTTTTGAAACAGATGTGATAGTTTTAAGTAAATTAAAACAAATATAAACATTAATTAAAATAACTTTGTATTTTTTTCTAAAGTTATTGATTTTCAATATTTTGAAAACATATTGGAATGATTACAATTTAAAATTGGTTTATTTAGCAAAATAAATCTATATTACAACTTAATATGGATAATGCATTTGTAATTATTATGCAAAAGTTTAAATATGAAATATCTGATTGGCAATTAGATTAAGTAAATGAATTGTAAAATACATTGAATTAACAAAATTGGCACAATCTATGCTGTAATAATAATATCTAGTTTTGTAGGAAAGGGATGTTTTAAATTAAGTCTTTACAGAAAGAACCAAAAGTCTAAACTCCATATTTTCATTAATTAAAATGGTTTTTATAATAAATATTAATAAAATAGATATAGAATATTTCATTAAAATATAAGACAAATCTTAAATAAAAATTATTAGCTTAATATCACATCAAAACGAATTTTTATATATTTAGAAAATAATGAATAAAAAATATTGAAGCAAATCATGCTTCTTCCTTGTTAGTTCAATCAAATTTTTAATAAAGAAAATGCTATATCCAATCAATTACCTTTTTAATTTATACTATAATAATAAGCATTAAGTCTGAAATAATACATAACTCGATTCAAGCTGTAACCAACCAACATCTACAAGCAATCTAACACTTATAACTATAAACAACTAAAATTTTACTATTAGAAAGATGATCAACATCACAGATCTGGAATGGAGAAAAAGTACAAAAGTAGCTATGCTGTCTATATAATGCTTTGCGAGCAGTTTTAGGTGAATATATGAAAATAAAAAACTAACTGTTTTTTTTAATTAAAAAAATATATTAGAAGTTTATATCTTTGCTTTTGTTAAGTCATTTTGAAAAAATATTTTAATGATTTGATATTTTTCAGATCAATTGTTGTAGAATATTATCTGTCTAAAGGTGAGTAAATATATGAAAATTATTTTAAGAAAAGAATTAAATTATTTCATAATTTTCAGACCATTTTTATTAGAATATTAGTCCCAATTATAATATTCTAAAAGGAGGGTAAATATATGAAAATAAAAAAAAGGAGGTTTTTTTTTTTCAATAAAAGAAACACTTATTATTAGTAAAATATATTAAAACAACTCTAGCAACAAAATAACTTGGGCCCTAATTGGACCAATATTCATGAATCTTGGCTGAATAAGAATTGGAAGAGCCGTTATTTTCCTACTTTGGTTCTAGATAAAATTGTCCGATTTACATGACATTCTATATACATTATTTAGCCAATATTGTCCCCATATAGAACCAATATTAAAAACTCTAACATGCCAATATTGGTCCCTTGGGGCAAGTTTAGACAGGACCCGTATTAAGCCCAACTGGGGCCAAGGTAAAATTGTTGCTAGGGAAATATTGCGAGTTTATAACTTTGCTCTTTAAAGTCATTTTGAGAAAATATTTTAACGATTTAATATTTTTCTGACCAAGTGCTTTAGAATATTACATGCCGCGATTAAAAATCATGAATTAAACTTAAACAGCATATATCTTTAAGACAAATGATTTATAACATCACTTAACCTGTAACTTCTGATTATGTAGAAAAATAAATCCAGAAGCTAACAGTTTTAAATATGATTTAGTTATCATTAAAAGAATTTTAGTGCTAATTCGTTTTCAATCCTCATACTAAACAAACTATCAAATGTCAAGACTATCTGATTAAGTTTAATTGTTAATAAATTTTAAAAGAAATTATGTAATAACAAAATTTAAACAATATGTTATTACTTTCAATTTTAATAAAAATTGACTAATTTCTCTCATAAGGTGTACCTTGGGAAAGTATTTTTCCTAAAAGATATTCTTATAGATTTCTATAACAAAATTTAAACAATTATTACTTGCATTTTTTTTCATACAGCACCTTATTTATTACTACTCACCTCTAAAAGATATTTTTTCCACATTTCCGGAGAACTTTTCTCACTTTCTGGGAATGCGTCTCGGTAAGGCAAGGAAATTTTTCTTCTTTTAGAATCTTTAGGCTTTTCAGAAAAAACTGGAGGCTACGAAGAAATTAGACTAAATTTATAAAATTAGAAATGTTTTATATTTGAAAAAATATGTAATCTTGATTATATAGAAATATACCATAAACACTTTCAAAGCAATAAATATTCATTAAGTAATTAATATATTATTAATGTTTTCTAACACAAACAATCTAACACAACTATGCTGTTTATTACTGTTTTCAATCATTAACTCATTCGATTTCTAATATCTCATCTAATGAATAAAATTTTATTTCTGGTCATTTTTATAATAGTACATAAAGAGGATGAAATATTAAACAAAATATTTTTACAAATTTTAATAAACAAAAAACCAAGGTAAAGAATGTGAGGATTAATTCACAACAATAAAGACAAAATCTTTAATATGCAAATTAATGTCTTGGCCAATTAGAACATCTAACTAAATAATCATCTTACTTGAAAATAATAAATTGTGTTTTTAAGAGCTTTAAATAGTAACAAGTCTGATAACGCCTATTTAGTATCAGGCAACAACTTTTCCCACAAACTCTTTATTTAGCTCAAACTCTTTTTATCAAACTCTTTCTATTAACTTGCATCTAACTTGACAATCATCTAACTTGAGATTGATAGAAGGAGTTGTTTAAGAATTCTTTAAACACAAACTCTGATAATGTCTATTTCATACCAGTCAACTTTACTGCTAACTTTATATCTTAATATTGACTTTATTTGTGTAAAAATTCATTAAAATAATTTTCATATATATATTTTATAGCACAATTGAAAAGCACAAAGCTTACATGCTACTTTGGGCACAACGGTAAATATATAAATATACATTTTTAGCCTCATTGATAAGTACAATATTTACAAGCTCGTTTCTCTAAGTTGCTTATTGATATCCTAAGATTATTATTTATAGTTCAGCTTTGAGAACTCCTCCAGGCTAAAAGTCTGGAACTGTCTGCTGCTATGGTAACAACAGGGATAAGAGTAGTCAGAAAGTAAAAAAGAGGAAATCCAAGAATGAATATTATATATATATATATATCTTGTAAATAAGAATCGCAATGTACGATATTTAAATCTTGTGAATAAGAATCGCAATGCACAACTTTGAAATCGGGTAAATATAAAAATCAATGTTTGATATTAAAAAAGTGATTTTAAAAACACGTAAATACAAATCACGATATTGAATTTCAAAATCTTGTAAATAAGAATCGCAATGCACAATATTTAAATCACGTGAATAAGAATTACAATGCGAAACTTTTAAATCACGAAAATCGATGTTTTTTTATTAAAATTGCGTGAATAAGAATGGAGATATTAGCAGATTCTGGACTTAGGATTTCTAAAAGGCTTGTTTGTATTGTTGCTTAGCCATAATAAATAAAAATTTACAAGATTTGAATGAGCAAATTAATATTTTCACCGCAAATCCACCACTATTTTTTAATTATTTCGTTTGTTTTTGATCCAGCAAACAGGAAGCAACAACGTCCGAATTAGGAAAGTACAAGCTATCTGTCGGAAAAATCTTATTTTATGCGCATAAAAGTGGAGAAAATAGCTAAACTAAGTGAAAATGGGAAGGGTTGGGAGCTAGGTATGTAATGATGAAAGCTTTGCTGCTTCCTT